GCCTCTTATTTTTGACCATTGTGATATTAGGCATTTTGTATCAAATCTACATTCCAATTTTTGTGTTTTTTTGTTTGTTTTCTTTTGTTTTGTTTTGTTTTGATAAGGTATAACTCAGGTGTTGGCTCTGGTGGAAAATGTTACGTTCCTGACCTTTGCTATGGATAGAGCTACAGAGACTAACCATAGGGATCACAAGGCAACTTGCCAGCTCACACACAGCCCCCAACTGAATGCATGGGAATTAATTTCATTATCTTGCAGACTCTGATCTTTGGAGATAGACAGAGGTCCAGACCTGATTTTTTTTTTCATAAGATCATAGCTTTATGATCCTGGGAAAATTATTAACTTCTATTAACCTTAAATGTACTCATCTGTAAACTGAATTTAATAAAGTCTTCCTAGCTGCAATGCCTTGCCAAATTATGTGCCCCCGGCATATGAAGTGAGAGATACAATTATTGGGAGTTATTAGGAATTAAAACCCTATTATGTTGTTATTCTACATATAATTGCTTAACGATTTAGAGTATGACCATCCCAGAAGTATCCAAATAGAATGACCAGTAAGTAGGTAACATCAGTAAAGACACAAATACATTAGGACTAGATAGGACCTTAATCACCATATGATCCAACTCCTTCAATTAATACACAACAATCATTAAGATAAGTCAATGACCTCCTTAAGGACACTTTCCGGAAAGTGTCAAGAGTTTTGATGAATGAAGACAGCTTCCCTTATGTATTAAAAATGCCACTACTAGCTCCAAATGAGTACAACACTGAATCTTCAAAACAAAGGTCCAGTGAGTGAATGACTATTGTACCATGATCTTTGTGGTAACTAGACCCTCTCCCCACCCTCCTAACTAGTGAGGATAATTAGCTTTGTATATATACAAGCCATCTTTCAGCAGAGTTCCGGGATACAAACCGAAGGGCTTTGGATCACCAACTAAAGCTTTTAGGAACATTTCAAGTAATATCATAAATCTTCGTTTTGTAACAAATGAGCACTGAAAAGTAAAGAGATGTAGGTAAGGAGAACTGGGTCCTATTAAAGAAAGATGAAGAAAATGGGAAGAGCAGGGGGAAAAAAAAAAGAAAATTTCAATTTAGAGAATAGGGGCTGGAGTGATGTAATTCTAATGGAAGCTAATTCTCTCATAATTCTGTACCCTGGTATGGACATTGCTCTTCTAGTTTTTCATCTACATGTTCCAATAGTGGAAATATGAATCTGGTTTGGAGATGTGGGCTAGGAGGGATTGAAGAGAAAGAGAGTTCACATGGATTGTCAAAGACAAGCCTATTCAACCACAGGAAAATCTTTAGGACTCTCTTCCAAATGAGCATTATAGTGCTTCCTTCACTTCTGCTGACTATAATTGTCAGAAAAGTATACCGCAAACACTTCCCTGCTGAAAAAAGTCAGCCTGGTATTTGTTTATTTATAATATTACCTATTGATTGGGTTTGTGCATAAGCTTCAGATAACTCAAGGAATATTGCATTCTCTTTATTTAAAGATGTTTAGGACTATGATTGATATCCTTGTATATATTACATGAGGTTCTTTCTGTGATGAAAGGCATCATCATAGAATAATGAGTTTCTGATTTCCTTCTCAAGGCTGTTATCTCTGTGAACCTGGTATGTAGCACCAAACAGTTAAGATGCTTGGAGATCAAAGTGACTCATTAGGTTAAAATTAAGGCAGTCATAATCACATAACATCTGAGTGTTGGCAAAAATAAAGTGAAGAGTGACCCTTGTAAGTATCGTGCACTGCTCTTGTCTTCTGAATGCAACTTCTTGCATTACCATAGTCTTTCCACGTAATTAATATTTGAAGAATCTCCTTAGTAAAATACTGAACTGCCGTTCCGTTTGGGAGAAGATACATATCTCAGTTGCTGTTTTACATCCAAGCCTGTGAGCATGGCAAAGTTGCATAAGTGGACAGACATTCAATGTGTTAGCTGTGGCATAACCAGGGCTAAAACCCATCAGCATTTCAAACTCCTAGTTTCACTTGAACCAGCTATCCTCAAGTTACATTGTTTCTTCTTGTGTCAAAGGAGTTGATATCACATGTAAAATGGTTTTTCATTTAACAGTGGCCTATCATAGCTACATTCGAATTAACTAATTCCCTCAGGGTAAACCCAAAGGAAATGTAGCTACTTAATATCCTGAAAATCTGGAATGGGGGAATTTCCACAGTTTTTATTACTGGCTGGTAATTATGTTCTCTGCACAGATTCATAATACCTATTCTGTAGCTGGCTTTCTAACCTGACTTTATTTTAATTTTGTTTAATTAGAAACTTACAAAATCCATAATGGGTAAGCATTCATTTCTCTCTTACAGACAAATGCCCAAGTTTTGGTCAGATTATAAGAAAATTAAACACACACATACATATACATTCTATATGCAACAGTAATAACAACACATTATTTTTAAAATAATACAAACAATTAAAAGTTGTTTTTATTTGAACAAAGGTCACAGGTATACTTAGATACCACGGAGCGTCTTGTGTAAATAACTCATGTTTAGGGATATTTTCACAAATGACATAAAATGTTATCTCAAAAAATAAAAATATTGAAAAAAAATTCTCCAAGTGATCTATATACTTATACAAATTGACTATTTGAAAGGAGATTTATCTTCTTCAATACATGCATATAAACGTTCATGGATTGTAGATAAATAGTAAATCAAAGCCCTAAATTTAATGGATAAAGTATGTGGACAATTGAAGTAGGGAAGAATTGTGGAATGCTAATGTTTTTCTCTTAGAGGTTCTGCATCACTGTTTCTGAAGATTACCGAGATAAACTGAGTTGAGAAGTAATTTTCTGCTGCCATGCTATTGTACTAATACATTTTGTTTAGCATAATAAAAAACATTAATCATTATTCTTTAAGAACACTGACCCCAAAATATTTAGCAAGTAGCATGCATTCAATTGAATTGTTGATTCGAAATAAGGAAATTAAACTGTCACTGATGAAATACTAAAGCTCATTACCAAAAAGTTTCATTTGAAATGTTGAGAATTAGCTTTATTGCTGCATCAGTAATGATAAGCATGAGTCTTAAATCCACGCCATTTAGGTTTTATGAGCATTATTAAAACATATTAACCATAATTCAGTTAATTTGCACAAACTGGCATTCTACAATTTATTTCCTTGCTCTTAAGAAAAGGTGCTACATAAGGAAGCCCCAACCATATTCCTGTAGGGTATGTTCTAACTATTTTACCCTTATTCCTCGCCCCACCTTTATGGATCTTCAAAATATTCACTATTTCCAGATAGGTAAATGTGCTAAAGGAAAAACAGCTCTTTTGCAGCTACACCTTTACATTATTAGGACAATACTGACCTCTAGTGTTTTAGGAGGTAGAGAGGCTAGCTCAGCACCATGCCTAACTTCCTCTAACTAAACCGCTTAGATGTTTTTCTAAAGCACCATGGGAACGATTTCACTTAAGAAGAAGAGGAGGAGGAAAAGGAGGAGGAGGGGGAGGGGAAGTAAGGAGAGGTGAGGAGGAGGAAGAGAAAAGAAACATCAGATTCTAACCTTGTCCTACCTATTCTCTGAAATGATATCTATACTAAGTCCCTCTGGCTCCTCCCTTTTAGAGAGGTTGACCTCACTCCTTTAGAATAGAAACTTTAATACAATCTTTATAAGGCATAACCACTAACGATGGATTCTGAACCTCCAAAACTTCCAATCACAGAAACACTGGCTCATCTTTGGACCATTTTCACTAAACAACATTTGTCTAATTGTCTTCCCTTGAGGAGCAACTCTGGGTTGAGTATGAGTATCTCTTATACAAGGTCCTCTTGAACCTGAGTATGGGGAGTGACATAGGGGGACTCACAAGTACTAAGGAGTCTTCCTATCTTTCTCTAAAAGTGGTGTTATGTTCCAGTACAGTTAAGCATTTCAGAGGTTCCTGGGGGTTGGGAGATAGCAGACAGAGGAGCAAGCCCAGAAACTCAAGGAACCTTGATAAAATATCTTTGGAAAAAACACAGATGGCTTAATTGCGTTCTTTCTCATTTAGGAGTTTCCAAGCTGGAAAAACTTCCCTCTCTCTGCCTAGAGAGGCAGCTGAGCAATTGAGCTTGAACCTCTGATGGCTCTAGAGATTTATTCAACTTTGACGAACTGGGTTCTTTAAATACACAGTGCAGGTGTGGATCCCCAGGTGTCCAGCCTTCCTGCCTATTAAATTAAATGCCCTGCACTTGCTGAGGTTAGAGCTTGGACGACAGAGTGTACACTTAGTGCATACTCATTATGTGTTCTTTGGCACAAAGATTTTGGGGGTGGAGTGTGCATCAAAGCTCTTCCTCCTGTAACAGGGGCAGCCATTGATCTTGTGGTTTGACTACATTGGGCCATGACTCTTAGGCCAAAACTCCCAATCCTATTAAACCGATGCCTATTGGTTGCAGGATACCCCAACTGAAGCCTCCTGCCTACAGGAGAGCTGAAAGCCATGTCTAGTGAGGTACTGGGTATATTGCAAATCCCAGGCAGCCGCATTCAGAGATGAGCCACTGTCACCGAGTGCGGTGGCTGGGAGCATCTCTATCTCTGGAAGCTCAGCCTTCAGTGCATACAATCCGAACCCGGGGCCCTTCTCCGGAAAACCTTTGGCGGAGACCAGGCAGGCGAAGAACGCGGACCTGGCGTGAGGCACGGGGAAGAGGAACCTTCCCTTCTCCCCAGAACTTTGCGATTCGGGAAGAAGGGCAGGAAATTCAGCGGGGCTGGCTCATCCGAGCTCTGCTAACTTTTGGGATGGTTTGAGTGCTAGAACCACACCAATCAGCATTTCCCCCCTTCTTCTCTGTTCAGGGCAGACACAATTGAACATGCTTGGACAGTTGAGTGTCTCTCCCCAACGCTGGCGTTTCCCATCTCACCTACCCGCCCCCAGCTCCTGGTACTCACAATTTGTCGCTGTTAATCCTAAATGCCACAAGACGGAGAACAGCAAAGTGAAAACGCTGGTCAGCCTTGGTACAGAATCCATTTCCCCCGAGTAAGTGGTCCCTCCCAATCGAATCCCAAATTCGCAGGCGCCAGCCGCGGCTTCTTCTTCTGTTCGCTCTCTCTCTCCCTCTCTCTCTCTCCTTCTCTTCGGCACCGCCTGAACCCCTCCCACCCCCCCTAGGAGAGGCACTCGCGGCTTCACTCCATCCCGTGTCCAGACGCTCCACCGAAAAGGTAGCGGGCTCCGCCTCTGAGCTGCGACTGAAGGAAGCTACGGTCCCCGCAACTGCCGCTTGCTGTACTCGCCCTCCTCGCCCGCCTCTTCCTCCTCTCCCCCTCCTTAAAGGTGCAAATCCAAACCCCGCTGCAACACGAGGATCCGCGCCGGGCAGACAGCCACTGCACCTCGGCCGCCGGCGCTGGGATCTGCAACCGGGCCGGCCGCTCCTTATAGGCGAGCTAGGCGCGCGGCACCGCCCCCGGCCAGGCCCGCCCGGCGCTCTCCTATAAGAGCGGTCTGGGCGGGTCCTCTGCGCGCTCCGGCGCCCTGGCTCCAGGCCCCGCGCCGCGGCGGTGCGCTCCGGCGGCCGGGGCCCGGGGTCCCTCTCCTGGGGGCGCACCTCGATCCCCTCCCTGCGCTACCCCTCCTCTGCCTCCCCACCCGCCCTTGATCGGGGGTGCAGCGAAGAGATTTCAACCAGGTTTTCCAAGAACATTGCTGTCCAAGGGATGCTGAAAGGAGTTGGAAGACAGAACGCATCAGCAAGAGCGAATTTCCCATGGAAAGCTTGGCAACGAGCTAACGAGATGCCTTTTTTTTTTTTTTTTTTTTTTTTTTTTTTTTTTGAGAGGAGAGGAGAGGGAAGACTTGAATTATTGAATGATGCGCGATTTTCAACCCCGTGTTTATTTGCTACTAGGCCGACGGGTATTGATGATATTGGGATTTCTGGTTTAACTGTTTGACGTTACAGCCGCGTCCCTGGTCTTCGACCCCGCGCCCCACTCCCGTCTCTCGCACTTTCAGGGCGACCACATCCACGCCTCGCTCCTAGCTGTTAGCACGTAGCTTGGGTCAAGTACTGCAAGGTGTTCAGGGCTTCACGTTCCCGAGAGAGGGAAAGAAAAATTCGGTCTCTCAGTGACAAATGACGCGAGGAAGGCTGGGGGTCCTAGCTGGCTTCTAAAATTGGAGATCTGGCCCCGCCTCCACTCCCCCCCCACCCCCGCCATGGAGGGATTAAAATTTAAAAGGAGGTAAAGAGTAGTTCTGGTTTCTTCCTAGAAGCTTCCTGTTGGAAACTCTGGTTTTCTCTTTGGCTTCTAGTTTACATCTGGGGATTCTCCTGCTTTACCATAAATCAATTTTATTTTGTTTTTATTGGAAGCTGTCAGAGAGCTGTCAAACCTTAACAAAATGAGGGACCATAATGATTTCTCCTATGTGAAGCTTAAAATTAAGTTAGGGGTAGAGTCACTTCAGAGGAAGTTGATGTCTCCTCTTCCCTCCACCCCCTCCCCCCACCTTCCCCAGGCAGCAGCAGCGCCCAGGCAGACTTATTTCACATTATAGATTCCTGACGATAACCTTTGGTCTTCCCCTATCAGATGAACAGGAATAGCAGATTGAGTTGGGTTTCATGCAGCTTCTGCATGAATCCTGAGGTTAATATGTGGTTTTGGTTAGGACTGGACTCGCTGCATGGGAATACTAAAAGGTAATTTGAATGACAATTGGATTTGTGACACCATTATTTTATCAAAGAAAGAATTCTGAGGGGCCTTTCACCAGTAACTTAAAATAACCCTCTTGTCTGTAAACTCCTCCTCCTCCTCCTCCACTTTCTTCTTCTTCTTCTTCTTCTTCTTCTTCTTCTTCTTCTTCAAGATTTTATTTATTTGAGAAAGAGAGAGCACCATTGGGGGTTGGGGGTAGGCAGAGGGACAGAAAGGAAGAGAGGAAGAGGAAGCAGACTCCCTAGTGAGCAGGAAGGTAGGGCTCAATTCCAGGGCCCAGAGATCATGACATGAGCCAAAGGCAACCAAATAAACCACTCCAGTCAGTGCACTTTGTCTATAAGCTTCTAACTGAAAATAATTGTTAGCTACTAGATTCTTGGGCGACCAGAAGACTTCTCCAGCTTAGGCTTTACCTGTGGAAGAAGAGACATCTCCAGGAGATGGTGAATCACAACAGATCAAAGCTGAAGTGATCCAAAAATCTGTGGGGTTCAAAGAGGTCTAAGTAAGGAGGGGGCCCGGTGTTCAAAGTCAAGCTGATCAGGCCTGCCTCTCCTTCTACAGGGGGGCCCCAAACAGCTGTCACCCATCTTTGGCTTTTGAACATTTCAGATATAAAAACACATTCATGGCTAGTTTAATCATACTAGAGAGTCTAGAAAAAATATTCACCATTCTCCAGGTTTATATGTTCTTTAACATTTAGACACGTTTTAAAAGAAATAAAATAGTACAAGTATAATTTAAGCTGCTTTTGCATTCTTGCCTTATCCCATTTATTTCCTATCATACCTAGAAGTAAACACTTTCTTTTTCATTCTTATACATCATGTTTTTATACATTTACCACACATATTTACATCCCTAAACAATATATGGTATCACTTTGGTTGTCTTTAATCAACATATAAATGGTATCATACTGTTTCATTTTGCACCTGCAGTTTACTCAAAGTTAATACTTTTTGAATTTATGCATTTGGATACATGTAGTGCTGATTCTTTCATTTTAACTGCTGTATTATATTTCATTTTATACATATGCGACTTTATTCATTAATTCTACTGCTTATGAATCTACAGACTATTTCCTGTTTTCTTTTTTCTTTTCTTTTTTTTTTTTTTTTAGGGGTGGGAGGGCAGACAGAGAGAGAGAATCTTAAGCAGGCTTCATGCCCATTACAGTGCCCTATGTAGGACTGGAGCTCATGACCATGAGATCATGACCTGAGCCAAAATCAAGAGTCAAAAGCCAAAGTAACTGAGCCTTCCAGACTTCCTCCAGAGAATTTTTTTCCCCTAACATAAACAATACACTCTTGTACCTGTCCCTTAATATTTCCCAAATATGTACTTAGAAGTCGAATTTCTGGGTCATAAAGCATGCTTATCCTCAGCTTTAGTAGGTCTCTCCAGTTGCCCTATAAAATGATGTTAGCAGTTCACTCCCCTTCCCCCATAGCAGTGTGTGAAATTTCCCCTAGCTCCATAACCTTGCTGAAACTTTAAGACCTCTCTTTTTACAAATGGGAAAATGATACCCAGGGAATACATGCTTTTGTTCAGTGAGTAATGCTCTAGGGCATCATCCTACCTTGTCCACCAATCCAAAAATATTTAGATAAATAATTTTTTTAATTATAGAAGATATGGGCTTCATTTCATGTCATAATGTCTTAAAATTGAATCTACCTATGTCAATAAAATGTGCTTGAAATATATATTAACAGACAAGCAGGGAAATTGTTATGTGAAGCTCCCAAACTGAATAATCTTCTAGATATTAGTGAGTATTGGAACTCTGCATTTAGATGCCCATATGCAAACCTGTATACTATATAAATGCCCATATGCAAACCTGTATACTATATAAATTGCACTAATTTAAAGTCCTATTTACAGTTGTAGCTTTTTTCGCTCTCTCTCAAATACACCTGTTCTCAAAGCAACTTTGAGCCTTAAACAGCAGACATTTGTCTAAGATTTGTTAACATTTCAGCAAGAATACTGCAGCTCTGAATGGAGCGAGGGGTAAACAGCTGTTCCTTTTAGACAATAGTGTAAACAATGCCATCTTCTGGGGGCATTTTGCCAACAAGTTTTTATTAGCTGTAGAATATTAATCACTGTTAAAACTGTTCTCAGCCAGATTGATATTTACCTTTTGAAATTCTTTTGTAAACCTTTTCGTTTGATAAATCCACCTTTCAAATGCTGGAGTAGGTGAATAATCTATCAGTTTCCTCAATGTTGCTTTATATAGAAGAAGAACTCATACTTGCAGAGTGCCTTGCTTTGAAGAAGCTTAAAAATTATGCATAGATAGAGCAGATTGATTGCTAACAGGAAATGGGGGAAAACAGATAATCGAAATCCTCAAACGCCTGCATTTTAGAATGATAAATCTGAGTATCTTCTCAAGACAAACTTTTGTCCAAAATATTAAAAAAGGAATGACTTGGACAGGTTTTGGTGTTCATGTCCCTTTAATTTTCCCTTGGGCTCTTCCATTTCTTTCCCTTAATAGAGCTGAAGGGAAAGAATCATTATCAACTGGAATCTTAGCCTTGGAATATTCAACAAGTGGTTTGCCACATGGATTTTGTGATCCTCCTGTGAGGTATGTGGCAGGTATGTTTGGTCATCTCCATTTTACAGACGCTATCCTAAGAGGAGACAGATATTGACATGTTAAGTATCATACAGAATTAACGTCCCCCACCCATATGGTACTTTAAAATGAAAACCCCTCTTCTTTTTTCCTTTACCTTTTGAGAGCTAATAGGTCAAATTCACTGTGACGTATTGGTGCCTGTCACATATAGGGGAAGAATTGGCACTGATCACAATAGGCTACACTGTTGTGAGTATCAGTACTTTTGGATTATTTCAGCTTCACATATTTGTGGTTAATTGTAAAGATGGAAGGATGATTTCTGCTGCCATTCATATCTTTAAAATAGAGTTTTTAAAAGTAATGATGTGGCAGAAAGTTAATTTAATATTTATCCTTTCACCTTCATTTCTTAAAAAAAAAAGATATATATATATATATATTTTTTTTTTTTTTTTTTTCTTTTTTCCTCTTTGGAGCATGGGGTTAGCAAGATGCTACACCTGAAGGGTATAGGAAATAGGAAAAATGTTCCTGCTCTCCTGGAGCTAAAAATGATTTGGAAAAGTATGATATAAACACATTAAAAAGTTAAGGTAACAGTACAAGTTAGCACGTGATTAAGTGCCAAATGGCTCAGATAATAAGTGTGATAGGAGATTTTAAGTTGACAAAGATTACTTCCTCTGGGAAGGAAGACCTGCATTTGGCATAATGAAGTGATTCTCTCTTTGTGGGTAAAGGGATTTGAGTCACCCTGGGCGATGGAGATTGTTATTCAGATTAGGTTGGGTCAGGTAGCTTTGCCTCATAGGAAGTCACATTTTAGGATCATGTAGGCAGGATTCTACTTTTACAGGATGGGCTTTTCTATTCAGGCAAAGGGACCTCAGCCAAAGGCGGAGTACAATTCACTTGAGTCTCTCCCCACTATTTCTCTCTCCTTGT